ACTACTAGGGTGAGGTTTTACTTTTGCGTAAATTATTTTAGTAATAATAATATGTGCATAATGCTAGCATAAAATTTAGTTTAGTAGATTCCAATTAAATATGAAAGAAAATCAAAGTCACTTGATAGACATTTCTATCATTCTTCAGTAAGGCTTTGACTTGCACTTGCAGAGAGAGAGAGAGAGAGAGAGAGAGAGAGAGAGAGAGAGAGAGAGAGCCTCAGTGAAGAATATCTCATGTCTTTTAACTACGCCTACATTAGCAAGGTAATCAACTAAAAATATGATTCCCCGTAGCAATGTATTATTGAAACCTCCCTAAAGCCATCGGTTGGTTAATATGCAGAATTAATCTCCGGATCTGCCACATAGGTAGAGTGTTGCTGTCAATCTAGAAAAGAACATATACCCAAAATCTCAAGAATACATAATAAAAATAAATATAAATTATAAATTTACAGTAAAAAAATAACTTACAGCTACACGGCTTCAACATTGCCATCTTTTGGAAGAAACATCTTCCAAAACCAATGTTATTTGAAGAGACCTTCCTTAACTCCTTCAGCATCTTTCTTTTCTCTCTCCGGCAAAATTTATAAATTGAGAAGCACATTCCTAATGTCAGAGCAGCAAATAGCATGAATATCCAAGCCTTGAGAGCACAAAAGAGCAGCAAAATGAAAGGATTCATGATTAGGGACATGAGCAAAGATATGCTCATCTCCCGGCATGCGCCTAACGCCCTAATCTCTTCGGCGTACAATTCTTCAGTCCACTCAGAAAGGCCCCGAGAACATTGAATAGCAGCTTATGAGGGGGATGGCAAATGCCATACCAACATAGGCACTCTTTTGGCTCAGTGGAAAGATATAGTCTCCTACCAAAAGGAAGAGACCCGGCAAGGAAACCTGAAAAAATTCAAGAAAAGTGATATCAAATTAGATATGCTATATTTCAGTAATAAAAATTAATCTATATAAAGGAAACCTAATTAAGAAATAAATGAAGAAGTACATGTGCTAAAATCATTCCTATGCATGCCGAGACTAGATTCATCCGTCGGCCGAAGAACCTGTAACTCGGATAAGTGAGTCCAGCAACTCCAGCTCGAACAGCTTCGGTAATGAGCGGAGCGACGAATGAGGCATTATAGGTGTATCTAGCTGACTGTAGAAGTAATGGTCCAAAGAATAGTAATGATTCTAAGCCCAACACTTGCTGGAAAATTTGAGCCACTATGTTAAGTAGTAAAAGTGGCGAGTGTGACAATTTCTTTCTTTTCTTCTTGCCTTTATTTCCCATCATGCCTGCCAACATTTGTAGCTCTACTTCTGCTCCACATTTATTCAACATCTTAAGGGACTCTTTTGCCTCCTCCATACACCATTTCTTAATGAGAAACCTCGGGGTCTCACTAAGAAAGAAAGACAGTACAAGTAGTGGCAAAGCCAAAAATCCACTACTGGCAAAGGACCATCTCCAACCATAACGGAAGTTGTGACATTCTGCCATGTTTGCTGCTTTGGTACTAGTACTTCCCCATAGCATTATGGAGTTATAAGCAAGGAAATTCCACTTTGGTGCCTTTCCAACATTGATATCACTCAATATAATGGGAATCGCCTGCATGATTGTAATTTGCTTAAGTGTGACATGCAATATGAAGCATAAAAGTTTTAAAACTATATATTCTAATATTTCCTATTTCACAACATAGCAAATGGTAATAATGGTTAGTTGGATAATACTAACCTTGAACACTCATATTTCCGGCAACTAATTTGGCACAATTTAATGGAGAAAAGATTAACCCTACATTAACTCATCCTCCACGACCAGGGCAAGGATATATTTAAAGTAAATAAATCTTATTACGAATATTATAATAAAAAAAACTTATGTGCATACTAGAGAGATTAATGTTACTTGATGAGTAATTTTCACAACAATAAAGTAAATATGAGATTTTAGTCCTTAAAGAAGTTAACAAATGAGTCATGTGCATGTTATGTGCATCTTTTTCCATGTGAAAGCTCTACTAGGGTGAGGTTTTTTTTTGCGTAAATTATTTTAGTAATAATAATATGTGCATAATGCTAGTATAAAATTTAGTTTAGTTGATTCCAATTAAATATGAAAGAAAATCAATGTCACTTGATAGACATTTCTATCATTCTTCAGTAAGGCTTTGGCTTGCATTTGCAAAGAGAGAGAGAGAGCGCCTCAATGAAGAATATCTCCTGTCTTTCAACTACGCATACATTAGCAAGGTAATCAACTAAAAAATTGATTCCCCGTAGCAATGTGTTACTTGAAACCTCCCTAAAGCCATCGGTTGGTTAATATGCAGAATTAAGCTCCTGATCAGCCACATAGATAGAGTGTTGATGTCATCCTAGAAAAGAACATATACCCAAAATCTCAAGAATATATAATAACAATAAATGTAAATTATAATTTTACAGTAAAAAAATAAATTACAGCTACACGGCTTAAACATTGCCATCTTTTGGAAGAAACCTATTCCTAAACCAATGTTATTTGAAGAGATCTTCCTTAACTCCTTCAGCATCTTTCTTTTCTCTCTCGGGCAAAATTTATAAATTGAGAAGCACATTCCCAATGTCATAGCAGCAAATAGCATGAATATCTAAGCCTTGAGAGCACAAAGGAGCAGCAAAACGAATGGATTCATGATTAAGGACATGATCAAAGATATGCTCGTCTCCCAGCATGCGCCTAACGCCCTAATCTCTTCGGCATACGATTCTTCAGTCAACTCAGAAGGCCCCGAGAACATTGAATAGCTGACTATGAGGGGGATGGCAAATGCCATGCCAGCATAGGCACTCTTTTGTCTCAGTTGAAAGATATAGTCTCCTACCAAAAGGAAGAGACCCGACAAGGAAACCTGAAAAAATCCGAGAAAAGTGATATCAAATTAGATATGCTATATTTCAGTTAATAAAAATTAATCTATATAAAGGAAACCTAAATAATAAAGAATTGAAGAAGTCCATGTGCTAAAATCATGCCTAAACATGCCGAGATTAGAGTCATGCGTCGGCCGAAGAAGCTGTAACTCGGATAAGTGAGTCCAGCAACTCCAGCTCGAACAACTCCTGCAATGAGCGGAGCGACGAATGAGGCATTATAGGTGTATCTAGCTGACTGCAGAAGTAATGGTCCAAAGAATAGTATTGAGTCTAAGCCCAACACTTGCTGGAAAATTTGAGCCACTATGTTAAACAGTAATAGTGGCGAGTGTGACAATTTCTTCCTTTTCCTCTAGCCTTCATTTTCCATCATGCCTGCCAACATCTGCAGCTCTGCTTCTGCTCCACCTTTCCTAAACATATTAAGGGACGTTTTTACCTCCTTCATATGCCCTTTATTAATGAGAAACCCCGGGGTCTCACTAAGAAAGAAAGATATTACAAGAAGTAGCAAAGCAAAAAACCCACGACCGGCAAAGGACCACCTCTAACCATAACAGAAGTTGTGACATTCTGCCATATTTACTGCTTTCATGCTGGTACTGCCCCAAAGCACCATGGAGTTATAAGCAAGGGAAATCCACTTTGGTGCCTTTCCAACATTGATGTCACTCAATATAATGGGAATCACCCCTAAGATTGTAACTTGTTTAAGTGTGACGGGCAATATGAACCACAAAAGAATTAATACTATATATTATGACATTTCCTATTTCACAACATAGAAAATGCTAATAATGGTTAGTTTAATAATACTAACCTTGAACACTAGTATTTCCAGCAACTAATTTGGCACAAGCCAATGGAGAAACGATTAAACCTACATTAACTCATCCTCCACGACCAAGGCATGGATATATTTAGAGTAAATAAATCTTATTACGAATATTATAATAAAAGAATTTATGTGCATACTAGAGAGATTAATGTTACTTGATGAGTTGTTTTCACAACAATAAAGTTAATATGAGATTTCAGTCCTTTAGGATGTTAACAAATGAGTCATGTGCATGTTATGTGCATCTTTGTCCATGTGAAAGCACTATTAGGGTGATGTATTATTTCTGCGTAAATTATTTTAGTAATAATAATATGTGCATAATTCTAGTATTAAATTTAGTGTAGTAGATTCCAATTAAATATGAAAGAAAATCAAAGTCACTTGATAGCCATTTCTATCATTCTTCAGTAAGGCTTTGGCTTGAACTTGTAAAGAGAGAGAGCCTCAATGAAGAATATCTCATGTCTTTCAACTACACCTACATTAGCAAGGTAATCAACTAAAAATTCGATTCCCCGTTGCAATGTATTACTTGAAACCTCCCTAAAGCCATCGGTTGGTTAATATGCAAAATTAATCTTCGGATTTGCCACATAGGTAGAGTGTTGCAGTCATCCTAGAAAAGAATATATACCCAAAATCAAATGAATACATAATAACAATCAATGTAAATTATAATTTTATAGTAAAAAATAACTTACAGCTACACGGCTTCAACATTGCCATATTTTGGAAGAAACCTCTTCCAAAACCAATGTTATTTGAAGAGATCTTCCTCAACTCCTTCGCCATCTTTCTTTTCTCTCTTGGGCAAAAATTTATAAATTGAGAAGCACATTCTCAATGTCAGAGAAGCAAATAGCATTAATATTCAAGCCTTGAGAGCACAAAGGAGTAGCAAAACGAATGGATTCATGATTAGGGACATAAGCAAAGATATGCTCGTCTCCCAACATGCGCCTAACACCCTAATCTCTTCAGCGTACGATTCTTCAGTCCACTCAGACGGCCTCGAAATCATTTAATAGCAGCCTATGAGGGGGATGGAAAATGCCATGCCAACATAGGCACTCGTTTGACTCAGTTGAAAGATATAGTCTCCTACCAAAAGGAAGAGACCCGGCAAGGAAACCTGCAAAATTTCGAGAAAAGTGATATCAAATTAGATATGCTATATTTCAGTTAATAAAAATTAATCTATATAAAGGAAACCTAAATAAGAAAGAAATTAAGAAGTACATGTTCTAAAATCATGCCTAAACATGTCGAGATTAGAGTCATCCATCGGCCGAAGAAGCTGTAACTCGGATAAGTGAGTCCAGCAACACCAGCTCGAACAACTCCAGCAATGAGCGGAGCAACGAATGAGGCATTATAGGTATATCTAGCTGACTGCAGAAGTAATGGTCCAAATAATAGTATTGAGTCTAAGCCCAACACTTGCTGTAAAATTTGAACCATTATGTAAAGCAGTAAAAAGGGCGAGTGTGACCATTTCTTCCTTTTCCTCTTGCCTTCATTTTCCAATATGCCTTCCAACATCTGCAGCTCTGCTTCTGCTCCACATTTCCTCAACATCTTATGGGATTGCCTCCTCCATACACCCTTTCATAATGAGAAATCTCAGGGTCTCACTTAGAAAGAAAAACAATACAAGAAGTGACAAAGGAAAAAATCCACGACTGGCAAAGGAACATCTCCAACCATAACAGAAGTTGTGACATTCTTCCATATTTACTGCTTTCGTGCTGGTACTGCCCCAAAGCGCCATGGAGTTAGAAGCAAGGGAAATCCACTTTGTTTCCTTTCCAACATTGATGTCACTCAATATAATGGGAATCACCACCAAGATTGTAACTTGTTTAAGCGTGACATGCAATATGAAGCACAAAACATTTAAAACTATATATAATGATATTTCCTATTTCACCACATAGAAAATGCTAATAATGATTAGTTGGATAATATTAACCTTGAACACTCATATTTCCAGCAACTAATTTGGCACAAGCCAATGGAGAAAAGATTAAACCTACATTAACTAATCCTCCACGGCCAGGGCATGGATATATTTAAAGTAAATAAATCTTATTATGAATATTATAATAAAAGAATTTATGTGCATATTAGAGAGATTAATGTTACTTGATGAGTTATTTTCACTACAATAAAGTAAATATGATATTTTAGTCCTTAAAGAAGTTAACAAATGTGTCATGTGCATGTTATGTGCATCTTTGTCCATGTGAAAGCACTATTAGGGTGAGATATTATTTTTGCGTAAATTATTTTAGTAATAATAATATGTGTATAATGCTAGTATAAAATTTAGTTTAGTAGATTCCAATTAAATATGAAAGAAAATCAAAGTCACTTGATAGCCATTTCTATCATTCTTCAATAAAGCTTTGGCTTGCACTTCCAAAGAGAGAGAGAGCCTCAGTGAAGAATATCTCATGTCTTTCAACTACGCCTACATTAGCAAGTTAATCAACTAAAAATTTGATTCCCCGTAGCAATGTTTTACTTGAAATCTCCCTAAAGCCATCGGTTGGTTAATATGTAGAATTAAGCTCTTGATCTGCCACATAGGTAGAGTGTTGCTGCCATCCTATAAAAGAACATATACCCAAAATCTCAAGAATACATAATAACAATAAATATAAATTATAATTTTACAGTAAAGAAATAACTTACAGCTACACGGCTTCAACATTGTCATCTTTTGAAAGAAACATCTTCCAAAACCAATGTTATTTGAAGAGATCTTCCTTAACTCCTTCAGCATCTTTCTTTTCTCTCTCGGGCAAACTTTATAAATTGAGAAACACATTCCCAATGTCAGAGCAGCA